TCTGAGGAGGGGCCCAGAAAGCTGCATTTTAATAACCCCTGCAGGTGATTCTGATACACCCTACAGTCTTAGAATCTCTACTTTACAACAACATCTAACTGTTGCAGTTATGAGATCACGTTGTTGGGAGTAATCTAGATAAAATGTGTGTACCTCCTTTTTAAAACTGATTTTACTGTTATAGAAACTGTTCTAGAAATACCCCCACCATATTATCTAAAACGGTAACTCCTATCACACCTTATCCCTATACGCTGCTTTATTTTCTTTATAACCTGTTATATATCAGACATTATAAATTATTAACTGAAAAGAAAAACGAGGCTTATAATTTGGAAAAGGAGAGCTTTATTCCTCGTACAGGGTTTGCAGCCCGCAGGAGCCATTCCCGCAGGCTTGAAAACAGGGCCCCCGGACACAAGCCAGGGACTCGAGCTTCAAGGGAGGTACAACGGGGAAACAGGATTTTATACAGACCAGGGTGGCTAAGTAGACATATTTAATGAACTATAGGAGGAGTCATAAATATTTACGCGAAGAGAACTGTGCGCCTGCGCAATGGGGCTTTCTGTTGTTTTATGGGGTCCACGTTTTAAAATGGCTGTCCTCTATGTCAAAAAGGGGAAACAAGGACATGAAAAACCTTCTGTGTATATTTTGTCTGGTTGTTTTTTGTTTGTAACAGGGTCTCACGTTGTTGCCCTGGCTAGAGTACCGTGGCATCAGCCTAGCTCACAGCAACCTCAAACTCCTGGGCTCAAGTGATCCTCCTGCCTCAGCCTCCCGAGTAGCTGGGACTACAGGCATGTGCCACCATGCCGGCTAATTTTTCTATATATTTTTAGTTGGCCAATTAATTTCTTTCTGTTTTTGGTAGAGACAGGGTCTCGCTCTTGCTCTTGAACTCCTGAGCTCAACGATCTGCCCGCCTCCGCCTCCCAGAGTGCTAGGATTACAGGCGTGAGCCACCGCGCCCAGCCCTCTGTAGACTGTTAAACCACTCCATGGTTGGTGGTCTTATATCAGGAAAGAATGCTGGGCTGGCCCTTAGGAAGTAAAACCTGATGGCTGTTAGCAAGGGAGGGGTAAAATGATTCTCAAATGTTTGGGAACTGAGTTTTAAGGTTTCTCTGGGGTCCCTTTGGCCAAGAGGGGTCCATTTGGTCAGCAGGGGCTTAGGATTTTATTTTATTTTATTTTATTTATTTATTTATTTTATTTTTATTTATTTTATTTTATTTTATTTTATTTTTTGAGACAGAGTCTCACTTTGTTGCCCAGGCTAGAGTGAGTGCCATGGCGTCAGCCTAGCTCACAGCAACCTCAAACTCCTGGCTCGAGCCATCCTTCTGCCTCAGCCTCCCGAGTAGCTGGGACTACAGCATGAGCCACCATGCCGGCTAATTTTATATATATATATATATATATATATCAGTTGCCAATTAATTCTTTCTATTATAGTAGACAGGTCTCGCTCTTGCTCAGGCGGTTTGAACTCCTGACCTTGGCAATCCGCCCGCTCGCCTCCAAGAGCTAGGATTACAGGCGCGACGCCACGCGCCCGCTAGATTTTATTTTAGTTCATAATGTCTATTTGTCTAGTATCTGCCTTCCCCGCTAGAATGCATGCTTCATGAAGGCAAAGACTGGTTTTGTTCAGGGTTGTCTCCCCAACAACTAGAATAGTGCCTGGTCCTATTTGAAATGAAGGCCACACTAGCTTGCCTGTTGTCCCTACCAGTCAGGCACACACCCACCCCAACTCCCAGCCCCCACAGGACCTTTGCACTTCTCTTTTTTTTTGAGACAGAGTCTCACTTTGTTGCCCAGGCTAGAGTGAGTGTCGTGGCGTCAGCCTAGCTCACAGCAACCTCAAACTCCTGGGCTCAAGCGATCCTCCTGCTTCAGCCTCCCGAGTAGCTGGGACTACAGGCATGCGCCACCATGCCCGGCTAATTTTTTCTATATATATTAGTTGGCCAATTAATTTCTTTCTATTTATAGTAGAGACAGGGTCTCGCTGTTGCTCAAGGTGGTTTCGAACTCCTGACCTTGAGCAATCTGCCCGCCTCGGCCTCCCAAAGTGCTAGGATTACAGGAGTAAGGCACCATGCCCGGACTATTTATTTATTTTTTAATTTTTATATTTTGAGACAGGGTCTCACTTTGTTGCCCAGGCTACAGTGAGTGCTATGGCGTCAGCCTAGCTCACAGCAATTTCAAACTCCTGGGCTCAAGCAAATCCTACTGCCTCAGCCTCCCAAGTAGCTGGGACTACAGGCATGTGCCACCATGCCCGGCTAATTTTTTTTTCTCTATATATTAGTTAGCCAATTAATTTCTTTCTATTTATAGTAGAGACTGAGTCTCGCTCTTGCTCAGACTGGTTTTGAACTCCTGACCTCGAGCAATCCACCTGCCTCAGTCTCCCAGAGTGCTAGGATTACAGGCGTGAGCCACCTCGCCCGGCACCTTTGCACTTCTTGTTCCCTCTGCCTGGAATGCCCTTCCCCCAGATATCCACAGGGCTTATTCCCAAACTGGGAATGGACTGGATGTTTGTGTTCCCCAAAATTCATATGTTAAAAGCCCTAAGCCCCAATGCAATGATATTTGGAAGTGGGGTTTTTGGGAGGTAATTAGGTTTAGATGAGCTCATGAGGATAGAGCCCCTATGATGGAATTAGTGCCCTTATGAGAAGATACCAGAACTGTCTCTCTCCCAGTTATGTGAGAATACAGCAAGAAGACGGCCATCTGCAAATCAGAAAGAGGAACCTAATCAGCCAGCACCCTGATCTTGAACTTCCAGCCTCCAGAACTGTGAGAAATAAATAGCTGTGTTTAAGGCACCAGTCTATTTCATTACAACTGACTATCCTAAGACACTATCCTATTCTTCATTTTCTTCATAGCACTTATATATTTACTTCTTTAGTATTTATCTCTTCCCAGGAGAAAGTAAGATCTATGAGGGCAACATTGTTGTGTTTGTTCTTTTGCTGTTTTCTTAATATCTGTATTACTGAGATTCTCAGTAACAGTCAATAAATATCTGTTGAATAAATGAATGAATCTAATTTTTTTAAACTCTATTACTGCTAACTAATGCAAAGTCAGTCATTTGTGCCATCAGTTCACAAAAGAATTTTCCCCTTACCTCCAGAAATAAAAAATACACAGTTAGAGTTGCCAGTGGTCAACATGACAATCAGAGGGCTGTAATATTAAAGGCAGTAAGAAGTTTTTAAAAATCCAGGCATAAAACACACAGGAAAAAATACCTACAAATATTTTTTAAACTTTTTAGTTATTGTAAGTAATGCATATGAGAATACTAGTACAGGAGTGAGAGAAAAAGACTTTTGATAAGCTGATTGTTTTTTGGGACAGGTTAATGGGGGAGAGGTTTTGCTTTTATTTTATTTTTTTTCTAATCCTGTACTGATCCAAACTTTATATTTGAGCTGATGAAAAAAAAAATTCAAAACCATCCACTGTATTTTTTAAGAGTCCATTTGTTAGACAAAATATGAGGAAATGTGGTCTATTTTATCACCTTTCTCTTTCTTTTTTTTTTTTTGGTTTCTAAATGGATATTTAAGTACAGATAACAGTGTGCACAGAACAAACTGGAGCAGCAGGTTCTGTCACCCTACCCGACTCCTGGTGTTACCCGATATCTCCACTCAGACTGGCAGAACCAGCAACACTGTGTGGTGTAACACAGTTGGATGCTTGCCCAAACTGAGCCCCCAAACACAAGGAGCAGCCCTCATGTTGAGGAGTGTGAAGGTGGCCAAATCACTACTTGACATATGCCACTCACATAATTTCAGAACAGAGCAGAAAAAGGAACCCCACACAAAAGGGAACAGAAGAAAAGTCAAAGTAAAGGCATTTTGAAGCTTTGATGTGAGGAGTTTTTCTGACATGTTATATAGATCAAGCTGAGAAAGATCAAGCTAAGAAATGTAAAACATGAATGTACATTCCAGTTTTATCTATGGAATTCAAAATCTTTCACCAAGATTTTCACACTTTGTTTCTGGCAAAAAAAAAATGTGAATACTCTTTCATGTGGTATATGCCATTTTCTTAAAACAACTTACATTTCTTATTAACAACGTTTGCTTTGGGGGTAGGTATTCAGTTTGCACAAACAAAACTGTATGTATAATTAATGTAAACATTTACCATAAATCTTCAAAATTATATGAATGACCATTATAACCTTAGTACCCATTTTGTTTGTAACCCATTGACTCTGAGAATCTGCAATTTCCTAAGACAACTGTTTAGGTTATCTTTCCTGATGTTTTATTCTGCAGCTAAAATAAAAGTCTTCAATAGTAATGAAAGTAGGCATCCTTCCAGGACTGAGGGAAGTTCAGTGATGTATTAAAACATTCACCCAGAGACCGGGCTTCTAGGCCTAGAATGCCTAAATGACTAATGATAGTGATTGGAAGTTTCCAATAATGCTTCCTGTTGTAGAAAATTACCATCTTAGAGCCTCCTTTTCCTCATTATAAAACTAGGACATTATATAACTATACAAGTAGCTACGGTTTCTAAATCCCTTCCTGTTCTAAAAGTACATAATTCAAAGCTGCTAAAAATAAATATTTCTTGTTGGGTGTGGTGGCTCACGCCTATAATCCTAGTACTCTGGGAGGCTGAGGCAGGAGGACAGCTTGAGCTCAGGAGTTCAAGATCAGCTTGAGCAAGAGTGAGACCCCGTCTTTACTAAAAATAGAAAAAATTAGCCAGTGGGCCCCTATAGTTCCAGCTACTGGGAAGGCTGAGGCAGGAGGATGGCTTGAGCCCAGGCGTTTGAGGTTGCAAGGAGCTATGATGACACCACGGCACTCTGGCCAGGGCAACAGAGCGAGACTCTGTCCATAAATAAATAAATAAAATATTTTTAATTGCCTGTGACACACGTGTTTACACACACGCATAGGTACACACATACATACACACAGTTTCGCTGTGACAAGGGGAAGGTCTAATACAATGTTTTGTAGCAGAACTTCACAGTGCACCAGTGATCAATACTTCTTTGTTCCTGAAAAAGTAAGTTTCAGGGTGGCATTCTCACTGCAGGGAGCGTTCTTCTGGGAAACCAGATTAGAGAAAGTTCCAGCTGTTCCCGCTCAGCCTCCAGGCATTTTAATTGAAATTCAGGGCAGTGTTTTGGGGGACCACATCTCAGCTTAACTGGGGACCCAGCGGAATTTGTAACCCCCGTTGGCTGTGCGGATGGTGAAGGCGTTGCCCTGAGGGAAGGCGAGGGTGCGGATGGTGCTGTGGCTGCGGATGGGGGTGCTGAAGGAGCCGCCCTCCTCCAGCTCGCTGTGGCTCAGGTTCAACGCGCTCGGGCTGCAGTCGGTGCGCAGCCCCCGGAAGGCGCCGTGCAGATTCCCGGGCCTGCTGTCCCTGTTCGCCGGCTCTGCCTGCAGTCGGGGCCGCTTGGGATCGCGGTTCTGCAGGGCTTCGTCGCAGCGCTCGGAAATCTCCCTCAGGATGGCATCCACTTCCTGGCAGTCCTGCCCTGCAGCACTGAATAGCTCCTCCAGGCTCCTTTTGGCCGTCGCCTTGAGCAGGAAGGGCTCGGCCGCCGCCCCGCAGTCCCGGGACTGTGAGATCATCAGCTTCTAAGGAAGATAGGGAAGAGCGCCGCCCTGGGGCCTGCGGGACTCGCAGGAGAACTGGGTGCGCTGCGCACCGCGCGCCCCCGCCGTCCTCTTCTCTGCCTGGCCCCCGCCGGGTTCCAACACAGGGAGCAGGGTGGAGGGTGCATGGAACAGTTCCGACGTCCTGCACTGTCCCACGCGCCCGCGCCCCACTTACATCCAGCACCGAGGCCAGGTGCCGGGTCCGGCTGGCGAGTTCCTTCAGCTGCACGTTCCGCTCCTTGAGAGACGCGATCTCCTCTTGTTTCTGGGTTAGCGTTACGTGCAGCTGCGGGGGTTGGGGGGAGACCCAAACATTCAGCGGTAGGCCACTGTGCTCAGCCTTGTCGGCACATTCTGTATGAATCAAACCCAGGTCCCGACGTCTCATAGGAACTGAGAACTCAATGGCATTCACGCTGGTGAGAATGACTTTTTTAAAAAAACAAAGCACTTGGACTAAATGTATCTCAATGTATCCTCAATGTAGCCTGGTCGTGAAGAGAACTGACTTGGACAACAGGCGATCTAGGTTCTATTTCTATGAAGTTCAACCATCCTATACCTCGATTTCCTTACCTGTAAAACGAGGCCGATAAGAGAAGCTAGCTCTACGATTGTGAGTATTAAACGAGAGGAGAAAGTAAATTGATAAGCACAGAGCCAGGCACATAGAAAGCTTCGATAAATGTTGGCAGCCCTATTAAAAATCTGGTGGGATAAGATTCCCATTTAGTGAAGTTGGAAACTGAGGCGGAGCCACCGGAGCAACAGCAGCCACGTGGACCCCGAGCCCGTCCACTGGTTCTGACACCCACAGGAATGCATCATCGCTCTTGCAACCTCCCCTTCCGCCCCGCGCTCTTCACCCTGTCCCCGCCCCAGGATTCCTGATCGCCAGCCCAGGGTCCCTACTTGGTTATTCTCAACGAGCGCGTCCCCCAACGCCCTCTGGTTCTGGTCGGCCACCTCCTTCCAATACTGCTCAGGCGGGGGCACGTCTGCAGGGTGTAGCGGCGGTGACTGCAGGGCTCGTGGGTCCAGCGGCGGGGAGAGGCAGGGCCCGAATGGTGATACATCGCAAGGAGAGAAGGGGAAGTCTCCGCTGGCAAGGGGAGGTGACATCAAAGAGGACGAGTCTGGGGAAGAGTGAGAGCTGGGTTTGCAGTCCCAAATTCTAGCCCCGCTAGCTATAGGAGAAAATGCCACTCTGGATGTAGGGTTTATGTGAAGATTTTCCTTTATTAAGTAAAGCACCCCTCGGTCCACAACGTCTAAGATTCCCAAGCCCTTCCTGACATCTTATACGCACACAGCAGGTGCTCAAAAGATGCCTGTTGAGTTGACCTGAACTCAGTCAAGAAAACCTGCAAAGGCCTGTAAGTCACAGAGGCCTCAGATTCTCTGAACACTGCTAACCCTCAACCTCTCTCCTGTCACATCACAGGTAGGGCTCCCTCTCCCACAACTCAAACTCATAGTCGACAAAGAGCTATAGATGCAGCAGTCAACTTCTCCATTCGCAGGGAGGGGAATGTTCTAAATATGAAAGAGCCAGACCCTTTGATGAGTTGCTGGATTGTCATAGATGTGTGGCTGGACCACAAAATCTGAACTAGTCTGATTTGGGGGTGGAAGGCAACCCCGCTGTTACTTAACTGCAAGGAGACTTCACTTGCCTGCAATGAGATCATCCACCGTGTCTCTGAAATCTTGCAGGTCGAAGGCTGCTTCCGTTTGGAGGGAATGGTTCTAAAATAAACCAGAGGTGCAAACCAGTTAACGTCGACTCCGGCTGGTCTGGGACACTTCCTAGACCGACAGACGTCCTCTAAGGCTCAGCTGCGGGTCTGACTCGCGTTTGCAGCCCAGCCTCATACCTGAAAACTCAAGCCCCAGCCAGGTCAGGGAACGCGGCAGACTCAGCCAGGTCAGGGAACGCGGCAGACTCGCACCGCCACGGTGGGGAGCGGGGCGCACGGAGCTCGGACCCGACCCAGAGGCTGCAGTTCGCGACTCCCTCCAGGCGCGGACACCGTGAGCGCGGGTGTGTCAGCGGTCAGTCCTTCAGCGGGCGGTGCGGTGGACTGGCGCCCGGCCTCGGGCAGCCGCGCAGTCCCGCGTGCCTCCGCCTTGCGACCCGGCTCCGACTTACCCCAGACCCGCCACGGAGCCATCGCTTTAACAGCACAGAGCACCTCGTAAATGCCGGGTCTTTCCTCCCAAGACCCGATCAGCGAAGCAGTAACTTGAGGCCGTGTTTCCCGCCAAGTCTTGGTCATAGCTACCCCCACTCCCACAACGGAAGAGGAAGGGTAGGCTATGATTCGAGGGACCCGGGATGCTATGGAAAACGCTTCTGTTCAGCGCACAGCACTGTGGCCACTCTTGCTCTTTTCAGTTTCACAAAAAGTTAGGCTGCACCTCCAACATCTTGAACTGTACACTCTCCTGGGCTCCTGCAGGGTGCCCGGGTGCGCAAAAAGCTGGATGCCCAGGGACCCTCTTAGTCCCTTAAATCAAGAACATTTACAGTTGATGAAACTCTTTTTTACATAGAGTTTTTAAAATTAATCCTCACACCAGTGCAGGAAGAAGGCAAGGCCTGGAAAGTGATCCCTCTTCAACTTGAAGAATCTGAGGCTCAGAGAAGTTGTTAGCCAAAGTCACCCAGCTCTGAAATGGGGACTCTTGCCCTGCAGTGCTACCTATTTCAACCCTCTTTCCTCTATAACTCATTGCCTCTAGCTTTTCTCTCTGTTTAGGAAACCTGGCTTCCTCCAGCAAAGGCGGCCAGCCCTTCGAAAAGGAGAAGCTCTCAGGGGCCATGCTGTGAGGCCAATATGCCAGCTAGAAAAAAAAAAAAGCTATTCCATGATTCCCCTTACTCATCTATTCCTTTGTGTTAATCACATTGTTCTCCCCAAAGGCCTTCCTTACTATTCACATATTTCTGGGAAGAGGAACTTATCCTGGTCCTAACTTCAAAGAATGTGCAAGTATCAGTTTTCTTCAGGGAGGGAAGAGTCAGGCAGGAAGGCCCCTAGCACAGGTTGGACACTGAGGCTATGAGGAAAAAGGAGCTGAGAAAGGAAGGACTGAGGGCCCCAGACAAATCCTGGAGTTCTGCTGTCACTGAATAAGTCAGAAATGAGACTCATTCTTCAAGTACTGAAAGGTCTCCCTTTCAGCAGGAATCTGAGACAAGACCTTACCATGAGGAGACTGGAGGCCAGCTCAGGCACTGGGGCCCAGCAAATGCTACCACCTATGCCATCCCAGGTTTTGGCCTATTCTTGACCCCAAACAATTCTAGAGCACTTCCTCTCTCTGTCCATTTCCCCAACAGGAAAGGGACTGGGAAATATGAACTGAGTGTACACCAACCAGGGTCTTCCTAGAGGTTCTTCCCATAGTGTTCTCTCTCCTCTGTCTTTCCCAGGAAAAATCCTGGACCATTTGGTCCATCTGGTGTGAGCTCTGTCCTTGAAACTTTTTTTTTCTTTTTAGACAGAGTCTCACTCTATTGCTGGGACTAGAGTGCTGTGGCCTCAGCCTAACTCACAGCAACCTCAAACTCCTGGGCTCAAGCAATCCTTCTGCCTCAGCTTCCCAAGCAGCTGGGACTACAGGCATGCGCCACCATGCCCAGCTAATTTTTTCTATATATTTTTACTTGACCAATTAATTTCTTTCTATTTATAGTATAGACTGGGTCTCACCCTTGCTCAGGCTGGTTTTGAACTCCTGATGAGTGATCCCCCTGCCTCGGCCTCTCAGAGTGCTAGGATTACAGGCATGGCCTGTCCTTGAAACTTTGAATCCTACTTTCCCAATTGCATAAATCTGGCATTTCTCCACTATGTAACAGCAAGGAAGAAAATTACTAACACAGAACATGATGTCAAATTTAAATTCTGTATACTATCTGCCTGTGGTGGCTCACACCTGTTATCCTAGTACTTTGGGGGACCCAGGCAGGAGAATTGCTTGAGGCCAGGAGTCTGAGACCAGCCTGAGCAAGAGTGAGAGCCCGTCGCTACAAAAAAATAGAAAAAGAAAATTAGCCGGGTATGATGGCATGCGCCTATAGTGCCAGCTACTTGGGCAGCTGAGGCAAGAGGATTGCTTAAGCCCAGGAACTTGAGGTTGCAGTGAGCTGTGATGATGTCACTGTACTTTAGCCTGGAACAGAGCAAGATCTTGCCTCAAAAAAAAATAAAAAATAAAATAAATTCTGTATACTTAAACAAAAAATTCAGCAAGAGTTGCTTGGTTTTTGTTACTTGGAAAATAATATGTTGGGATAAGGGAGTGACCTAGTCCTCTAAGTCAGTTGGAATCTTCTTGCTCAGACATTCTCTTTCCTTATTTGAGCATCCAGATCAAAAAAGCACAATTAAATGGCCTCTGCAGTACAATGCCCACTCCTACCTCTTTCCTTAACAATCTCTGCTCTTAGCAGCCACCTATGCTATGTCATGAGCTCTATCTCATAGTTGTAAGAGGCCTTTGAGAAGGCCTGAGAAGTTTGCTCCAACGCCACTCCCAGTTCTGGGAGGTGGTCAAGTCTTTTAGAGACTTCTAAAAGTCTTCTGGGCCTGTCCCCAGGCTCTAGCACCTGCTGCCAGGAAGACAGAACTGGCACTCTTCCTGTGAGTCGCATCTGGCTAAGCCCTCCCGTCCTTCTGGGCACTTCATATCCCACCCATGAGCCAGGCTTCTGGCCTCCAAGACTCCAGTGCAGGGAGGCTCCATCCTCTGCCTGGTAAGGTCAGCGCTGGCAAGTGGTGGAACTGAGATGGAAGTAAAAAAAATAAAATAAAACAGGTTTAGGAGAAAAGAAAAAAGTCAAATGCCTTTTGCCCCATGACGGTAAGTGAATAGAACTTTCAGAAGGGCAGAAGAGGACCTTTTAAAAAGTGAACTTCCTTCTTCTGAGCGGATGAGAAAAAAATTAATAAATAAAAAGTGAACTTCCCTGGGGTGCGAACTAGCCGAGCACAGAAACAGCGAATCCTCGGGGCATGGGGCACTCAGACCTCAACCCGGCCCCAGTCAGTGGCCCCACCTTCCTCTCCCGCTCCCCCGGCTTGCCCAGGGGCCTGCCCGGCACCCCCAGCATCCTGTGGGACAGGTGCTGAAGAGTCACTTCTGCAGAGAGGAATGTTTCTGTCAGATTTCTTCCAGAGTCCTTTGTCCTTCCTGCTGTCTCCAAATGCAGACTTTCTTCTTCTTTTTCAGTCTTGATAAAGAAGTTATTCATTGACTTCCACTCTTCTTAGATACTCATGGAATGAAAACGGTGAGTGAATGGCCAGAAAGGGGATGTTGAGAAAACAGGACATGCATCAGGCGCCCAGAGCGCAACTTCACTCCCACCCACCCACCTGGTCCCTCAGAGCTGATTTCCATGCTGCCTGTGCTCCAGAATAAATGGGGAGGGAAATGGCAGGAAGCCCCCCAGGTGAGCCCCACTGTACCAAGTTGGTCAGAACAGCTCCGGAAATGTGGCTTTCATAACACACTAGGAGGGAGGAGGAAGTTCTGATCTAGGAGGCTCAAGTTGCTGCACGACGCCTTTTTCCACCAGCTAAATGTGCCTGCGCTCCTGGCCCCAGACAAGCCTTTGAGGAAATAAACCCACCGCTCCCGAGTCGGGGTTTGGGCTACGCAAGGCTCCACAAGGAGAGGTACCTGCGAGGCGGCCGGGTCACCACCAGGCGGCGCGTCGGACCCGAGTAGCGAGGAGCAGTCCGCGAGGTCCTGCAGGTCTATGGTGGTGAGGGCTGCGCGGGGAGACCGGGAGACACGCCCCGGGCGGGCCCTGAGCCTCTCCGCCAGGCCTGCCGCTGGAACCCCGGCTGGGACGTCAGAGCCCGGGGGAGAGAGGCTCCCCGGAGCCGCGCGCGCCGCAGCCACCCGGCGTGGGGAACCCGAAGGGTCGCGCGGGTGCCAGGGGGCTCACCTGGCAGCGCAGCGGGCTCCGCGTCCGGGGGATCCTCGTACACCGACACTGGGCTGCAGCCAGTGTATCCGGGAAAGAACTTCCGCGGAGGGGCGAACTAGCGGGGCACAGAAACGGCGAACCCTGGTCAGCCCTCGGGGCACGGAGCGCAGACCCAGCCCGGCCCCAGTCAGTGGCCCCACCTTCCTCTCCAGCTTCCCGGGCTTGCCGAGGGGCCGGCCCGGCACCCCCAGCATCCTGTTGGGGCAGATGCTGTCGAAGGCCCGGCGTCCCGCCGCGCCGGCCCCGCACGCCTGCATCTTGCCACCAGGTGTCTGCTGCTCGGAGGCGACGGCCAAGGCTGGGATGGCGGCCCACACCCGCGCCTGCAGGCTCAGAAGCCGGCGGAGGTTGGGGAAGGCGCGTGGCCGGGGAGGGGCGGACGGGCGGCTGAGGAGGTGCGGAGGGCGGGCGGGGAGGAGGGGAGGCCCGCCGCGCGGGAGGGGAGGCTCGCGCCCGAGCGCCAGAGGTGGCGCCTTCAGCCCGGACAATCTGCGCGCGGGCGGAGGCGTCAAACCCAACCTGGCAACGAGGCTTCCCCCGGGAGCCGCCAGCGCGGGGCCCGCGCCCGCGAGCGCCCTTTCGTCTAGCGTTGGCGCCGCCGCGCCAGGCGGAGAGAGGGAAAGAAGGAGGGGCGGGCGAGCGCCAGCCGTCCCTCGCTCTGGGTTCCGTCTTCCCGCTCTGCGACAGCGGGAATGGAAAAGTTAACGATTCTCATCTCCTTTTCTTCCCACTCCAGCCACAAGGCACAAAATAAAGGTGGAGTGACACTCGCCAAAGCCAGGCTCCGCATTTGCTCTGCCCTGCAGGATTTAGTGGGGTTGTAGAATTGCAGGAGGGACTTCCTGGAACAGCACCTTCCCCTAAACCTGGGCAGCATTTCTGGGTCTTGACTTGCGGACTTCCACTTGTTCTCTCTTGGCCTTTATACCAACAGCCGCGCCCCCACTCCCAGCCCCACACTTTTCTGGACAGTGGCCTGTGAGCACAGCCTTTAAAAGAGTAAATTAAGAAAAAGTGACTCTACAAACCCTCCTCCAGTTCCTGAAAACGCCAAGGTGGACAAATTCCCCCAAACCCTGTCCTCTCTCCCCTCGTGGCCTCAGCTGCCCATCGCCACGTTGTGCTGCTGTCTTTACCGCGGGCCACCTTGCTGTGCCACCATTTCCAGCTACCATTTCCCAGCCTGAGCCCTCTCCCAAGAAGGGGCATCTCCCAGAAAGGGGCATCGTTGGTGACAGGCCTCTCTCAGGACTTCTCATATTCGTCCAATTTGAACAAGCATCTGAAATGGGAATCTTTGTGTACCCTCCTATTGGGCACTTTGTTTTCCCCTTATACCTAGTAGTAGTGAAAGATCCTCTTTTAAAGTGTCACCATCCTCTTTTATTTCCACCCATTTTCTGGAGTAAGAAACAAATACCCCTAACAGTGGTGGAGGGTAACCCAATGGTAGGAGTGGAATTGACTTAGAGACCCTTTGACCCATGTATAGATGCAGGAACTGTATTGGGGTGAGGGCAGCCAGCTGGACTTGGTGTGGTGTAGCTGATGGTGAGGAGCTTTGGCTTTAAGGTCAGAGTGCCCAAGGACCAGGTCTGTGAGCCCTAAGTGTTTAGGAAAAATAGTAACACTGACCTCAATAGAGTTGCTGTGAGATTATTTATGTAAAGTGACTGGTGCTTAGTAAGGGTAAATTAATAGAATTTTTTGTTTGTTTGTTTAAGCAGCCTTTTCAGCTATGCTTCCAGCTTCCCACAGCCTGTTTCTGGCTATGTCTCCTGATTCCTGGGTAGTACAACCAGTATCAAGTTTATTTCCACTCCATCCTTACCCACTTTCCAGTCCGTAAAAGATTAGGGGAGTTCTTAGCTGAGTTTCCAGGAGATCTCTACACACGGAGACAAGATTTTCCAGCATAAGCCCATTTCCCAGTAATCACCATTGAGTTCCAAATTAGGGTAGAGAAATATGGGCATTGTACAATAGATTTTCTGTAACAACAGAAACTGGAATGGAATGATTATATGACTCCTACTCTGGATGATTCTGGAACCAGTCACCCATAACAATCATGGCTGAGTGATGGAGTAGACACTGGTGAAGACACCTCCTCCCAAAGTTACTATTTTGCAGAAGTGCCAGACTCCACCCCCTTACAACCAGGCAGAGGTTCCCAGATAATCTGAGACTGGTGACAGTTGATATGATCTTCCTTCTCCTCTTTTTTCACCAACACAGAATAGCTTTCCCCCAAACAGTTTAGAGATTACCACTTCCTGGGCCAAAGAAGAGGAAGTTCCTAGAAAGCTGAGCTTATCAACATGTCAGAAGAAGGGTCCAAGGGACCCAAAGTAAGGCACGCCTGGCTCTGGAGAGCACTTGGAAGATGCATTTGGAGAGAAGTGCAAAGAAGTTTCTCTAAATATGCTTTGAGTTTGTTTGCTTTTTGTTTTTGTCATATATTTTGATTATTCTAAATGTAGTGGAATGTGACTGAGATTTTTCCCTCAAACTTATGCTTTTTTTCCAACCATACAGAAAATTTGAAAATACAGTGCAACAAAGAACTCCCAGTTAACATTTCCCCATATTTGCTTTCTCTCTTGTTCTGTTGTCTGATCCACGTTTTTCTGCATAATCCTTCTCCTCCCATCATCATGCAGGCTACCACTAGCCTTCTATTCTTGAGGGCTTCCCCTGTGCCAGGATCTGTGCTGGGGGATTTGTTTAGAGCATCTCATTAGAGCCATACCTCAACCATATTAAATAGGTGCTATTGTTATTTTTACAATTGAGACATAGGCATAGGGGCCCAGAGCCCACTCATTTAATCACTGCTTTATGCTACCCCACAACACTTAAGCTTAATCTCATTTAAGCTTCACAACCACCCTGGCATCAAGAGAACATAAGACATTTGCTGGAGGTGACAGAGCTGAGATTCAGGGCCTGCAGCAGATTCACCACAGTGAGGCTGAAGATACTGTGACAGCTATAGAGTCAAAGAACTCCAGCAAGCCTCTCATTTTCCAGCACAGTTTTCTCATCTGTAACACAAGTCCTGTAACATGACTGGAGGTAAGGAAGGACTGTGCTGGCTCTCCAAATATATTCTTTATAGCCCTATTGAATGAACAGCATTGAGTAACTTGCTCAGCACTTACGTCAGGTTTTTTTTGGGTTTTTTTGAGAATTTCTAGAGACCTATTAGTGGAAGAAGTTGAGAGGTGTGGCTAAGAGCATGAGTCTAGACTCATATCACCTGTCTTCAAATCATGGCTATTCCACTGTTGGCCATAACCTGTACTGTTTATGGCTACCCCTGTGCCCCAGTGTCCTCTGAAAAGTGGGATAACAGACTCTGCTATATAGAATTGTTAGAAGGTTGAAATAACCAACACTGAATGAACACAGTATCTGGTACATTGCAAGCACTCAATATAGCCATTATGACTTATGTCATTGTTACCCTGGGCTTACATGCAGCTTCATGAACAGCTCAACCATGGGATTGTAAATGGGCTCGAGTTGCAATGACCATGACCACCTGCAAATCCTTTCTTTCCAACATCCGCTAGTTGCACCTGGGATTCTCGGTCCCTGGGTCTCTCTCGGTTTTTTTTTTTTTTTTTTTTTTTTTTTTTTGCCCTCTGCTAATGCGCCTGCGTGGTCCCCAAAGCTTCCCAGCCCTGCTTACGTCGCACCTGCCAGAGCAACCCTGGCCGCTCCAAATGTCATCGACTTTTGTGGGTTCTATCTTGCCCCACATTCCACCCGCGCCCTCTGGAACCCCGTAGGTGCGCAGTCCCAGCCTCCTGACATGAGGGTCGCAGGACTCAAGCCTACAAGTGACCCTGGCTCGCCTTATCTCTGGAACCTTGGTATCCAGGACCTCGCCCGATCTGGCATTCCTGCACAGAGATACCAACGATAGATTTGGAGAGAGAGGAGGATCCCTTGAACGTTGGCGATCGCCCATATCCCTGAGCTGACTTCACCTTCCCTCCTGGCAGACAGACACGTGCAATGGCATTCAGACAAATCACGACAGTCTATTTATTGGGAAAAGGCTCGGCTCCCTCGTGTGTTCTCAGAGAAATAAACTACTAGATGCTACTTTCGTGCACTATTTACAACCTGCAGCTGACAAACCAGGAGCCCTGGCCCCCTCTCTGTGGACCAATACTACACTCTTCTAAAGCAATGGGAGGTCCAACAGCTGGGCCCACGAATGAAAGGTTACAGAAGATCTGTTTTATTTCAAGCTCGGGGACAGGCTGCACTTCTCGCAGATTTCAAGGGGCAGCATGTGAGTCAGGGAGGTACTGTTTATGGCCACCAACAGCTGCAGCTTGCCCAGGCAGTCCTGCAGCGCCGCCTCCGGGTGCTCTCCCGGGCTCAGGTCCACCGCGCGCGGGAGCCGCAGCATGCGATCAGCCAGCGCCAGGCAGCAGATGGCCAGCAGGGAGGGGGCATAGCTGGTGAAAGCATAGTCGGCCAGACTCAGCTCCGCCACGCCTTGAGCCAGGGCTTGCGCTTCCAGGGCTTCGGAGACCTCAACCTGCCCCGCCTCCACGCGAGCGTGCGTGAAATGCTCGAGGAAGAAGCTGATGGTGGGAGCGCCCAAGCTGAAGTGCAGCTTGTGCAGCACGATGCACTCGAGGTTGCAGAGCTGCTGCCGGGAGAAGGCGCCGCAGCACAGGGCCAGGAGCTGCTTCACGCGCGGCGGGTGCACCTCCACCTGCAACACAGGCCGCTCTCAGTCCCCCGCCTGGCGGCTGCCGGGCCCAGACCCACCCCAGTCTGAATTCGGGGAGAAAACCGGGAATCCCCCAGTCCTTCCAGAAAGATGGCCTGTACTTCACCTCTCCACTGCAGTCACTTAAGTCACCTGGGGCGTACTTCCAGCACAGTTCCTCTAATGTCCAAAACAAGGTTTGGTAAATTTTGAAAGTTTTCCGGAAACTAGAATACAGGTGCCACGGAGAGCTGATTGGGACTGACTACAGCCTATTTCTTTGGAGGCTGAGTGACAGGACTGTTTGTAGAGAACTGTGATCTTAAGGCTGAGGGATGTATAAATTTGCAAACATCTGCCAAAAGGAGTCCAGGGAACTCAGCACTGAATCCTGCGCGCTGGAGAGCTGGGCGGCCGTTTTGGCCCTCCCCGCCCCCCAGACGCCGCGTGGAGGTACCTGTTTGCACGCGATGAGGAGCGAGGTGACCCCGAGCAGCTGGAAGCAGTCTGCAGCCACCG